TGGATTGTAGTTATACCCAGGTAAATTATCAAGAAATTGGCATCGCCCTTTTTATGTATCTATTATGGTAATTACATGGTCATAGCAATTCCAAAACTATTTCTAGTTTACTTGATAAAGAGTTTTTGGCTTATTTTACGCTCTGCTATATAATCTGGCATATACTTGTACAACAATGATAAGCATTCCTTTGGATCATCAAAATCAGCTTCAGTGCTGAACTTGACTGGAATTTGAATGAGATCTGGTAAAGTAATATGTAATACATAATTAGCTAAATTATTACTCAAATTTTACCATTAAATAATTTATTAATTCCTTCCCTTGTTCCAGGATTTTCTTGTTCATATTTATATGCTTTTAAATATTTGCAAACAAGCTGTACATCATCATCAATTTCATAATGTAAGCTAGAATCAATATGATGCAGTGTACCAACAAAAGTAAAAGTTGGAAGGAGTTCTCTGAAAGTTTCTAAATTGCTTTCAGGATCATTATATATTGATGGAACCTAAAATACATTACTTTTATTGTGCAAAATCAAGTTCATAGTAGCATACTTCTACAAAAATTTTCCAATTTTCTGTTAATGGGACAGAGAATGATGCTCCAGTGTGTGGATCTTGTATATAGCCCAATACAAGAAAATCAAATATAAACCATCCAATTTTATTCATTAATGCTTCGAACTCTTTCCTTTCTTCCTCTGCTACATTTTTCTAAAACAAAAGTGACATAATGTTGATACACATATATAATAACTCACTCCTGGAGGTAACAGGGTAAAATTAAAAAAAATAGAACAATCCTTCTCATCACACAGCAGTTTTAATTTATCAATAACTTTTTCTACAGAAAACAACTCATTAACAGCAAAGACAACATTATTAGCAGTAAGTTGACTCCTAATATAATGAGTTTTTCCATTGCCTACAAAAAGCACTCTATTAATAATCTCACTATGTTTAAAAATTACCCTGCAAACCATAAACTAATTGTGGTTGGCTCCAGAAAGATATGTCAACCTTTTGGAGATTTTCCTCATTTTTTACAACAGTACTGATAAATGGAGCATTTTGAAGAAGAGAAGCTGAAGTTTCTATAAAGTGTAGTGTTGATCGTGCATGAGTGTCACATTTTAGCATTTTGTCATAGAGTTCCAAATAATATTGTACCAATGACTAAAAATAATTATCAACCAACAATAAAAGAGTAAGTCATATACCTCCTGTAATTTTGAATTAAGTTGATCCACTTGCAGAAAGTAATAATGCCGAGGAAAAAACTCAATTCTCTGAAAAAATAGTTGAATATCATTTAGTGTTGTTCCAGAGTGGCATCTTAATAACTCATAACATTTAGGAAATTGACAGTTAATAGAATAGAGGGCCTGAATGAGATGTTTTACAGTAAACTTGTGACATTGATGTAAAACAGCAAAGCTGTGAAAATCCT